ATAAAATTAGCAAATTTTATGGATATGTGATGTTTTTATCTCCTATAAATAGATATAATTGGACAATCTGTTCATAATGTAGAACTGATTATTTGCCGAATAGTGCTTTACTTTTTGCAGATGGAACTGATTGCTCTTAATTGGTGAGAGTATTAGTTTTTGTTCACGTATGCAAATAAGCTTTTGAAAATCTAACTTCGCTATAAATAATGTCAATTTGCAAGCATTCGTGTAGATACTGTAATTTAAATTAAATAATTCCAATAGGTTACAATGTAGTATAAGTTATATAAGTTATAAGTAATGGAAGTTTCCAACTAAATCCCTACCATATATCTTCATCACATATTTAATGCGACAACTGAATGAAAAAATTATCCGGTGCTTAGAAGGACTAGACCTACAGGATGTTTCACGATAAAGTTAATAAATCATTCGAATTGCTACTGTTATTTTAGCAAGCGCATCTTTTATTCAATAGTTACTTTCTTTATAGTTATCTTATTTATTTTAATTGCAAATTAGATTTTGAAATTGCAGTTAATGAGCCCATTAAAAATTAAAATGACATAATCGCTAATTTGTTGACCGTTCTGTATGGTAAGCTAAAAACGTCCGTTCTATTATCCACTTAGTCCAGATAAAATTTCCTTGACCTAGGACACCCTCTGTAATTTTTATTACACTTTTCAACCAGTCCATCTAAAGCACTAAGCAGTAGGTATGTCGGCGCAGTCAGATCTTCCTTCTATATAACTAGGTCAAAATTACATCTTCAATTTAACTCGTGATTCTATTATCAGACTATTTATAATGCCCTCAATGTATAGCATAGAAAAGACTTAACTCTTTAAAAACCAACAACAAAAATTTTATTGTGCTCATAGGCGCGTTTTAGGGTTAAAAATAATAATATTCTTAAACTGTTTCTGACTATATTTGATATAGTTTGTTGTATTTTTTTATTATTGATTCAACTATAGTTTTCAAATAATAATTTTTATATTAAAAGTATAACGTTTATATGACTGTAGCAGTTATATAAGAGATTATTTATCGTAGCCCAGACTTTATATTGATTTTATAAATTTAATTTTAGATATTTAATCGATGTGTTTATTTTGTTTAAGAAATACATTATCTATTAATGTGATCCTATCGTCACGCTAACGGCTAATTTAACTATGTCAAGAAATCCATTGTGCGATGTCCCTTTTGGTATATTAAGGAAACAAACAATTGTCCTGTACAGTGTGTGAGGGATAAAGGAGATAATTGGGAAATCAATGTGTATAGTAGACGACTGATTTGAAACTGGATACGAGTGGAGCTATTAGTTATTAATGGTATCACTTTTTTAGAAACTTTCAAATCCTGTAGCAGGAAAAGTCAAACCAAGAAAATTTTGGAAAAAATTGTACTTTATTTCTAATGTTCTATTTCTTCTTTTATCTAACAATAAATTGCAAATCTCCGCTGTGACACCATGTATATAGAAATTATCTGTATATATAATTTACCGGTACCCGGAGTAATACGTAAAGTTGTCAAAATCAAGCATTTAATCTGAATTTTATTTATTTTCAAAAATGTCATTAATTGTAGATAATTATCCACGTTAATTAGGTTATATTATAAGAGAAAAAAAAAACAAATTATATGTAAATTGCAATTAAATTTAGTTAATTCAAAATGAGAAGATTAGTGCTTCGTTTTAACAGCAATTTTAATCATACCTGGAGAAAACAAATTTAATTTAGCCGATGAAATTATTACTTTCACACTACATTATAGGCCTTAATAGCCTTACATGTGCTATCCCGACTACATTCTGCGATATACTGCCGGTTATTCCGGTTAATATTGATTTTGTCTGGCATTTCGAATTCCAGACATACATTAAGGAAACGCGCAAACGCTATCTAGTTGAAAATTTAAGTTTAAAAAACGGCATTATGTTCACAGAAATAATTCAATATTTTTTTCTTTTTAAAAGACGCGTCTTGTGTAGGTATTTGTGGTTCTCTAAATTTAGAAACCTCTGGAATTTCTGAGATCATTTCCAGAAATGTTACGCAAGAGAATTGTCTTGTTAGAGACACCATGACGTCACCAAATTCGCTTCAATACGGCATTAACGTAACGTTACGTAATATTTTGAAAACAATTTCCATTCCCCTTGTGAAAAAATTCAATTACCGTACCATCATGCAATTCTTTACGGCATTTATATTATCATTAAAATTGTTTCCACGTATTCGCTTTATTATTGGCAATCTTGTACTTTAAAATGGAAAATGATGTAAAATTTATTGTGTCTTGTGTCTCTTCAAAAAACAAAATTTCAAATACATATATAGATAGGATATAGGAAAATGCAAATAGCTGTTTAAAAAAATTATGTAGACATATAATTAATTTTCAAATGATAAAATAAATCAACACGCAAAGAATCTTTATTATTGTGAAAAATATTACTATTCGTGACAATTTTTTTATTGTCTATGCTAATTTCCTGATGTGTTTGTTTTCCGTTTTAAATAAAATTTCAATTTCACCTTCATTTCTCTTCCCTCATAATTAGAGAATTCAATCAGGAAATCCTTACCTCATCACATGTAGGTTTGTTCCAGCTCCACAGAAGATATATGTTCCGTATATTGTACGGTTATCGTCATGCGCAGTAAATAAAGTCTGTTTCGTAAAGTCGTTAATCGGTGCAAATAATTCTATTGCGCATGACGATGACCGTACAATGTACGTTTTTCCGTAGAGCTGGAACAAACCTTTTTCCTCTAATTGAAACACTTTATTTGGAACAACTAAGTTATACATATAGGAACTGGAATTATTTAAAATACTTCACTTATCAATACTTATAGTTTAGAAAAGCATCTCAAAACACAAGCATGTAATTCATAAAAAATGTAATCGGTTACTGTTACGGTCAATTACTCAAAAATATTTTTCAAGACAAATTGTTTTATGATTAATTATTATGGAGCCAGGTACTTAAAAATTATTATCCTGCTATGTGCGAGTTGCAATTAGGTGTCAATTTAAATACAAAAAAATAAATCCTAGTAAAGTCTACGCGATTAAATTAAATCCACAAATTTACGTCAAAAATTCACTTCTAAAATTTATTACCTTCTTTCTGCCTAACTACATTTTCAGGCAGACTGAAGCCATCTTTATACATTTTCTTACCCAAGATTTTGAAGAAACTTAAAGCGCAACTATATAGACTAAGGGAATACGTCTACTTACCCTGTGGTCATCTGCAAACTTTTTTGTGACACTTTTCCGAAATACTGATGGAAAAATCATTTTTATCCATATTTCCTCTGTCTATACATTTAAATAAATGTCCACGCACTAGGCAACATGTAAGAAGAAATAAAATATTCAAAGCTTTAAATGTTTTTGTTGAAAGCAATTGAGTAAGAAGTAAGACTTTAATCAATTTGATAAGTAAAGAATGGCACCTTTTCGATGATATGCCTTACTTCAAACTGTCTTGTGCGCAATTGTTCAGCAATAGCTTGTTATTACGGTCATTATACTATTACGCCCTCAGCAGTGTTTAAACTCGTAAAAATGGCCCCTGAATTTGCTAGAGATGAAACCTTGGCTTATTATTTTCCATTGGTGTCCGAATACAGAGATCTTCCTGCTGAATCTTTCCTTCCGCGATAGATCAGTAAACGTAGAAAAAAATTTAAGATAAAATATAAGCAATCGGTTATGACAACTAGATAATTGCACAAGTGCTATTGAAATACTACTTATACTTAAGTTTGTAATACTACAATTTTAGTACTTACCTACATATATTTTTCGTAGATATCTATAATAACTTCGTCCACTTGCAATTTAGTTATTTTCCAATTATCTATTTCGTGTTTGTTACTTATTCATATGAATCGCATTTCTCGAATTTTATTTTCTCAAATTCCCTCTTGTTCATGTTTCAAAAATTCAGGTGGGTTTTTTTGATTAAATTTTATATGCGTTTCCCTAGTCTACGATATTATAATGATAAGTACAATACTTGGATTAAATTTTTTGTTGTTTAAAAAATAGCTTAATGTACAAGTTAAAGATATATGTAATTTGCAATTTCTGTAAATTTTTACAGGAAATTTCAACGCATAACTAGGAAACACATAAGTCGTTATTCAATAGACTTGATTATAATCATTACGCTTTTGCGTTGTTTTCTGTCATTTTATGACTTCATTTAACAGCATAGCGTAGGAGCTTTTTTTATATTAGCAAATTATTCTGGTAAAAACCATTTGGGTAGTATACAATAGATTACTATTTTATTTATTCGTTATAAGCTACCCTTTTTTAATAAAAAAAATAATTGCTTATATGCAAAAACTCATAAAATATTTAGGTAGTACCACATTATATTTGTGATTTACAGCCTTCCTACTGTTACACATTAAAATACTTGCAATTAATTTTATTACATAATTTATTTGTGCAAGCAATTTTAAATTAAAAACATTACATGACAAACCGTGTAGGAATTGAATTTATAACGCAGGGAAAATATTTTTTCATTTATATGAAAACACTTAATTGTTCCATAACAAGTTCACTAATTTGTACGAGTTGCAGCTGATTTCAATCAACTTCTATTGTTTTTAGATATCACCATAAATCTAATATTAACTTTAACATTGTACAGATTTAAAAACTCATTACAATAGCGTGAAACGAATCATTTGTAAAATAATGAAATTAAGATACATTTTTTTACTTTGCTTTTTTTTCATAAAATTTGTTATGTACCAAGAATCTGCAGTGATAAATATTTGTCTCATTCTAAATCCTTGTTAATTTCGAAATAAGTTTTTCTAGACATATTTAATCCGATCTTTCGAAGATATTATTTTTATTAAATATTTGGACAAATAAATTATCACTTTGAGGTAAACATTTAGATTATTTTATTATGAAGATTTTTAAATAAAACAAGCCAACAATTCAATAGAAAAAAATTTATTAAATAGCACCTAAATTTTTCAATTTCTTTGATTTTAACAGGATTTGTACAGTAAAAGAGGATCACAAAATATCTAAGTATATGGCCCCAAAAATGGCGTAAAAATATTTTAATCTCCAACATCGCTGTCCTTGTCCCCGATGATATAGAGAAAGTGAAAGGCGATTCCGAGTAACAGAGTTCCCAATAAATCACCTAATGCCGTTAGATAAGGAATGGCAGAATTGTCAGGATCAATACCTAATTTCCACATATTCAGTGTCATAATTTGGGCAATGTATAACAACATAAATACTTGCAATAACGCGGCTGTCAAGTACACCACGATAAAAATAAATGTAAGCGATGTATGACCTGCCTCTAAGTAACTGATAGTATAAGAAAATATTAAGTGTCCCGGTATTGCCATTAATAGCAACATTTGAGCAGTACCGGCATGACTCGTTTCTTTTTTATCACATAGAGCTGAACATGGACTAATGCATACTTGCATATGATTAGGCAAATGACCCGGTTGTGCAATACTGTGAAGTTCTGTTGAGATCCTACTTGATTGAACAGCGACAAGGTTACCACCGACACCATTAATGACTAGTTGAAAAACTGCGACTCCTTTAAACTGGGATACCGTGAAATCTAAAATTAAACCACCTACACTACTGATAATCATAGCCGTAATTACCGGACTCCATCCACTGAAAAGTACTTTATGAGTATGCTCATTTTGACTGGCTATCCACGCCCACATAGGTACTAAGATTAATCCTATGATTATGGAACTGGAAGTTAAGTATGGATGCGTATCCATCGTATGATAGAAGATAGATGCTAACCAAGATAAACAAGCTAATGTTGTAAGATCACCTAAACTTGCAGCTATAGGTGTTGCCACGTTGTCTGGGTTAATATTACAATATTTTGAAAATATAATAACCCCGACCATAACAATTCCAAGTATAAAACTAGCTCCAAAAGCTGTAACAATACTACTGGCACACAACAGTAGAGCATGTTTCACATTAATCACTCCTGTAGGTACCCATCCAAATATAACAGCAGCCACTGAAGCTAGAAATCCAACGACAATGGCTTGGCACAAGATTAAGGCAAGATTTCCTGTAATTAAGCTTATTTTTTGTTTTTTAGTGTCTAAATGACCTAAATTAGCATGTGTCGATAATCTAGAGGCTAACGTCATTTCCAAGTTTCCCTTCAAGCCTAGAAGAGCAGGTACTAATATATAGACTTCTGTAACATTTTGATACACTGGCCAATGTTGAACTTTATCTAATAGTAAACTTGCGGCTACCATTCCAAATCCAGCAAGAAGAAAAGGAATAAACATTTGCATTGCTGTCACCCATGGTGGTTCTTTTTGTTCGATTATAACGTCAGTTTTAGACGAAATTCCGGAATTAAGTAGCACGCATGTATCTGATGTGATTTCACTTTCTTCCTCCTAAAAAAAATACATTAAGATATTTAAACATTTAAATTCCATATCGGTGATTAATTTCTTAAAGCTAGAACAATTAATGAATCATTAAATACTGAATTAGATGACCTATAACATAATAAAATTTTATGTAATCAATTAAATTAATTTTAGGTAATTTACCGCTCTTTATGGTTAAAATTGTAAACAGATATTAAATAAACACAATTTATATCTGCACAAACTTCATTTTTAATTTAATATCCACTTTAAATTTCTATCCAATTAGCCAACCAAGAAGATTGTTCAGAAAGTAATAAAATATTAATGAGTAAATATGTAAATTGAAAATATGATTTTTACTTACAATATCGCCTTCTTCACCATCAGTCATTTTGCTCGAGTGTGTTCTTCTGCGTTTTATGTTAATATTACTAGTAATTTTCTCCATTGCAAAATCTGTATGAAAGATGCATGGTTAACATATTAATTTTCGGTACGGACGAACATTGATGAATGACATTGTCACAAACAGGATTTACTTGATATACTCGGAAAATATTATTTTAAATGTTTGTACACGTAAACATACTTGAATGTGTTTAATTTTATAACCTAGAAGTGAAATGTCACTGTCAATTTCATAATTTTTTTTGACATTCAGATTTTTTAGTAATATTTTCGGTTTTAATTGTAAAGTCGAGAATTAGGGATTTAATTAACTCAGTAAATTTAAATTTTTAAATAATAGTTTTGTAAATAAATATATTCGACAAGAATATGTTATAGATTACAGATGTCGCTGAATTGGACTTTTTTAGAAATGCCAGTGTCAAATTTGAGTTGAGTAAATACAGGTTCCTTCTAATTTCAAATATTTTAAGTGTACTGAAAGGCCGCGAGATGACGCTACGATCGCAATTTTTTTATAGATTTAAATGCGCAAATTTTAACTTTTTGAAACATACATAAACTTTATTATATCAGGGTGTTTGTTTAATAACATGCTAATACTACAGAAGGTGATTTTTGGGCCCATTTTATAAAAAAACTTCATATGTCCTAAACGTCTTAACTTTTGAGATATAGTTTTAAGCAGTTTTAAGAAAAAAATTAAATTTTTTTACTGTCATTTCCATACCACTATTTTAATGGAATTTGGTGTACGGCGTTTTTGCATTAAAGAGCATTTTTTGACCTAAAAACATTTTTTTATTTCCAACAGTGGCGTTCGTACTGGACTCAGGCCAAATATGTTTAAGGGTAAAAGTAGTACGCCACTGCTTTCTCTTGAAATAAAAAATATTTTTGGAGACCCCCGTTTAATTTAAAACAAATTTGATTTTTTGACTTTTTTCGTACGACTCACTGTTTCGCAAAAAAAATTAAATGCATTCATTTGTACGCTAAAAATACCTCTGCATTAGCCGCTGTGTAGAAATTTTCGGTTTAGGACATATGTTCATATGAAGCTTTTTTCTTAAAATGGTTCTAAGATACACCACCCCCTTCAGTATTAGCATGTTATTAAAAACACCCTGTATATGTGGTATGGTCATCCGCAATAGAAATGTACGTATGCTTTATATGCAAAACGGAATGTGAAAAAAATGATTCCGAACGCAAATGTTAAAAATGTATATTTTTCATTTACTCAATAATGTTCTAACATTATTTAATTTTCAAAATATGTATTACCTAGAGTTTGCACCACTGAAATCACTGCTTTATATATTTTCGACATCCTTCTCTATACAATGCACTCTCGATATGTAGATTGATACTATATTGTATTATAATTTTTAATGGACTTCACTTGAACACTTTGTATACAATTTTTTCTCCTCCTTTTTTTGAAAAATTCTGTTTGTATCTGTTTGTATGTCCTTATCGACAAGAAGTAATTCTCTTTGAACTTTCATTACATTTATGTATGTACATACATATGTGTACGTATCTAATCTACTGTGTGCAATTAAAATTTATTATTAAATGAAGTAGTTTTGCTTTCAATAAAAAATAATTTAATTACTTATTGTAAATAATAAATGTGTAAACGTGCTTCCTTAAAGTTTTTATAGTGCAATTTATATAATATATGTATGTCACTGTAACTAATAAATAGAAGGACGAAGGGAACAAAATTATTCTGACACTAAATTATATTTCATTGCGATCCTTAATGTTATCCTAAATTTCGGGAGACTTTTAGAGCTAAATTTAGAGCTGCTCAAAGCCTTTCCCAATATTTCTCCTCGCAACTATACTATAAATATATTTTCGCAACTCAAATCGCTATTTGAGCACCTATTTTTTAATTATGCGACTATAAGTAAGTGTTTAGATGTTTTTTTGGGTCATGGGTGATGTAAAAACCAAAAAAACGTACCGTTAAACAATTTTGAGCTGAAGAACCATAGAAACTTTTAAGAAAACCGATTATAAAAATAGAATCCCCACTGTGCTATAATTACACATCGAAAATCAAGTGGTAGAACACTATAAATAGGTCATTGTATGCAATATGAGCGATTCTCGTGATGACAAAAATGACTATACAGTTTTTCAAAAATATTGTGAGAAAGCCATCGGGCAATTATCCGAAGAATGCATACAGAGTTTCAAGGAAACAACAGACGAAGGTTCCAGGATAGTGTTATTGTATCAAGCAGCCACCAAAATACCAATAACTATAATTGAACTGAATGGTAAAAATTTTGAGGTTTCTCAAGAGCAAAAAACCAAAGGAAACTCGTACTTCGCCAAAAAGGATTACGCAAACGCTCTGAAAGCCTACAATGAAGGGATTATTAAGTGCCCGCAAAATACAGGTATGATTAAATTTGTAATATTATTAATTTAATGACTTTTATGTAAACGAATGTTTTTATTTTACACACTATATACGATTAACAGGCCAATTCTGTATATTTGATTAACCATGCAAAAATGTTAAAAAACTAAATTCAATGCTAAAAATAAACCACTCAGTATTTGCCAGTAATGCTTGATTTACGGCTAGAATAGTTCATAAAATAAAGTCAATTCAATATTCCAAAATAAACAACGAACAATATTTCTATTAAAAAAATATTATTTTTACAATAACTTTTAAATTTTTAGACGAAAGCAGAGAATTATTATCAATTCTAATATCTAACCGAAGTGCCACTTACTTTGAACTAAAAGAATATAAAAAAGTATTCAACGATATTGATTATGTTCTGGAAATAGGTAACTACCCAGCTCATTTAAAGTATAAAATATGGATAAGGAAAGCAAAATGCTACGATGCCTTACAAAACGAAAGATTATCTTCAGAAGCGTACGACGAAGCATTAAAAAGTCTAAAATTTAGCAAACTCGATGAAAGATCTATCGAAACGAAAATAAATGAGATAGAAAAAGCTAGAGATACGAAAATCGAATTCGCTACTAAAAACGAGTTAGTGCCAGTAGATGAGGCGGAAGTGTTTGAAGGCGATAATGAATACATAGCAGCACATTTTAAAGTTAAATTTCAACAAGATGCCTATCAAGGGAGGTACGCAATCGCCGAAGATAATATAGAAGCTGGTACTATTATCGTGGAGGAAAATGCTCATTGCGCTGTGGTGGACACCAAACACGCTTTAACTAATTGCCAGTATTGCTTCACAGCTGTGGAACAGCTCGTAGCTTGCCCCACATGTTCTAACGTCGTTTTCTGCAGCACGATCTGCGAAAGATTAGCCAATAAGACGTTTCATAAGATCGAATGTCCAATCCAAGCATCGTTGTACTCTTCCGGGGCTTCGGTTAATTGTTTTCTAGCTTTGAGAATAGTAAGTCAGAAGCACTTCTCCTATTTTAACGACAAAAAGAATAAACTTAAAGACTATCTCAACGACCACTGCAAGAAAAATATCATTAAGAAAAAAACATACCGCTACGATGATTACGACAACGTATTTTTTCTCTGCAGAAACGAAGCTAACAGAAAAAGAGAAGAACTGTTACATTTTAGCTGTATGGCAATATTTTTATTGCGACTACTGAAGTTCGCTAAATATTTTCCTTTCGAAACCGTGGACGAAACTCTCAAAGACGACGAAGTTTATTTCGGAAGCCTACTTCTCAGACACCTACAACTATTACAGTTTAACGCCCATGAAGTATCAGAACTTAGAAATATTGATAAATCTCACGAATTCGAAGACTTAATGACTAAGTATGAAAATGCAGCTATCGGAGCTGGACTATACCCAACATTAGCACTTTTTAATCACTCTTGCGATCCAAGCATAGTAAGGTAAGTAATTACGATCAACATACTCCAACTCATTCAGTACAGCATTTATTTTTTGTAGATATAATATAAAAAGTAAGATGGTAGTAAGAACAATAAAGCCAATAAAGGCTGGAGAAATCATATACGAAAATTATGGACCTCTCTATACGAGCACGCAGATGGAAGAACGGCAAAAGATCCTCCAAAACAATTATTGGTTCGAATGTCTGTGTACACCATGTGTAGAAAGATGGCCAATGTACAAAGAGATGAAGGAAAACGAATTGAGAATTCCTTGTAAAACTCCTCGATGTCCGTTTGTATTCTTGTTAGAAGGAGACGACGATCCCTACTTCACCTGCGAGTTTTGTAAATCCATCAATTGCATATTACCGAATTTGAAAGGTCTCATGGTAAGATACGTCATATTAATATTAACCGAGATTCTATTAGGTTTTTAGGTTCTAGACGAAATTCTACCAGAAGCCGAAAATTTATTCAAGTTGGGACAATTGCAGGCTGCTATGAAAAAATTTATAAGTGGATTAGAAATATTGTTTAAATTCACCAAACCGCCGCATCCAGAAATAATTAAAGTCCAGCAGAGAATAAGAAGTTGTATGGTCCATTTGGGAAACAAGGCATTTGACTATAAAACTGATTTGTTATAAATTGTACTCAAAGGAAAATTAATAATGTCTCATAATTAGTTGCTTTTTTGACCTTAAAGTTCATACATTGTAATTTTTTTAGGTTTTGAGATTTTTTATTTCACAGAAGTATTTCACAAATTTTTGATGATTCATGATAAAATCACAATACCTCGATAATATATTAAATCAGTTAACAACATTGTAAATAATCCGATAAGTATATATTATCTATAAAAATTTCAAATCGATCAATACATTGGAACCCACAGGTGTTAAGTACTTAATGATAGAGTTAATTAGTAGCACCATATAATAATTGCTATCAATTTTATAAATCGACTTTAGAATTTTACCTTTCATTACCTAGGGAAATCTCATTATTGCTACACTTTGTATCTAATTAATTAAGGACCATATAAAACATTTCTAATCATTAATCGGATTCAATGATTAGTCCTTATCTTGGAGATATATTAGAAAGTGCCGATTCAAAATTGTATTATATTTTAACCAGTAAACAGCTTGCTAAGTTCGATAATGCAACATGTTTCTCAAATTTATAATTGTATGTGTATCATTAATTGACGTTTTAGGTAAGTTAAAACCCAATAAGTATATTATAAAATTTTCTAAGCTATTATTGAATTAATAACTTTGTTAAAGGATTTCGAGGCGCTTTAGGACTGAACGAAATATGCTCTCATAACTCTGATTGTTTTGGTAACGCTATCTGCGATAATAAAAAGTGTACCTGTGATTTAATTTCTTTTCCATATAATAACAATTGCTTACCTTGTAAGTTTTTGAATATAAGTTTATCCTGTAATAGTAAAATTAATCGTAACCTAACACTTCAGATGTGACTGAATATAATGGTTATTGTGAACAATCGAGCCAGTGTGAATGGTTAGGAGACAATGCGATCTGTAGTCGAAATGTTTGCACTTGTGAAGAAAATTTTAGATGGTATCAAGGAAAGTGCATGAAATATGCACGAAAAGGAGAAGATTGTACTGACATGGATTGTTATGACAATAATGATCCGTTGTCATTAACTTGTGACGAGTCAAAAAAATGTAACTGCAGTTCTGGTTACTACGACAGGAAATACGATTGTAGGAAAACATCTAGTGAAGGCAACAGTAAGTTTACTAATGTAAGTAGAGTGCGAATTTAAATATACAATCAATAATTTTTAGGATGCGCTATTGATATGGATTGTATAGGTGAAAATCTTATTTGTGATATTGGAAAATGTGTTAAAAAGAATAAAGCATTCTCATTAAATTACGTACAATACGAATCAGAAATATTCGATGATGAGCCTAAGGATGATTTTTTACCAAATTTGCAACATTCAGGTATACAAAAATAAATATTTACGTTAGGAAGAAATTAAAATTTTTCTTTCAGTCCCTATAATAAACTGTACTTACGATAAAGACTGTGTTAATATAAAGAATTCATTATGCCACGAAGAAACCAAAACATGTATGTGCAGAACAGGAAATATGTATATTTCAGGCAACTGTCTCCCAGGTAAGATTAAGTATTAAAGAAAAATTATAGTTCTATTTTTTTCTTTATCCAGGTTTCGGAAGATGCGACAAAAAAACATGTACTGAGAAGAACACAGATTGCTTTCATAATCTATGCGTTTGCAAGAAAGGATACTTCGTACGTAATGGTAAATGCATTCCAGAACTTGGCATGGAGGATCCTGCTTTAATTGATACAACAGCCTGCGTTATAAAACCCGCCCAATGGGTAAAGGAGAAAAATGCCTGCTACTGCTTAAATTATTGGTTTCCAGACGAGGCTAACAGAAATTGTATTAAAAGTAAGTCATCCATAGAAATCACATAATTAAAAATTTACCGAGCAATATTTTTCAGCAACACTTCAGAATACTTTGTCGTGTTTAACCAACGATTGGTGCAATGCGTTAGGACCGAACTCCTTCTGCAATTCAACAAATAAGAACTGCCAATGTGGCAAGGGAGCTATAAATCAAACAATATTTTATTGCGAAGAAAAAGAAAGCAAAGGTAAATAACTTAATCCTTTACATTCCTAATTTTAGTAGCAATTTGGAATAATTTTTGTTAACAATCTCTTTAAAATATTTTAGAAACTTGTTCAAGAGACAACGACTGTAAGTATAATGAGCAATGCCAGGATCAAATCTGCGTTTGCAAAGAGAATTTCACCAGAGATAATAGGGGTAAATGTCAACCAGGTAAGAGAATATATTGCGAAAATATAAACATTATTTTAATTAATTATTTCAATGAAGATTTGAACGGTTCTTGTCTAATACAAGAATGTTCCAACATCAAATTTTCAAGTTGCGTCAATGGTGTCTGTAAATGTAATGAAGAGTATATAAGCCACAATAACAAGGAGTGTCTGACAGGTAAAAATATAGAAATGTTGTTATTATCGGATTCCAATAAATTTATTTTCAGTTGCTAAGACTTTGAACGATACGTGTGAAATTACGGAACAATGTCAAAACTTTAAATTCACGGAATGTAAGAAATCCAAATGTAATTGCAAGGAACAGTATAGTATGGTAGATGATAAGTGCTGGCAAAATAAAAGTAATTATTTTCTTTTATCAAACACTCGGAATTTTATAGTTGTCATTATTTACAGAATACGGAGATCCTTGTATGAATGAACTAGAATGCACCAAAACACTGAACAAGGACTATCAATGCCAAAATAGCAAATGTGTATGTCCTATAGGCAAAAAGTTAGATGACGGGTATTGTGTTGCAAGTTCATCAAACAATATCATTTACTCATCATTTGTATTTGTTACATCATGGATTCTCATAAGGGTTTTGCTGTTATAAATAAAGTAAGTTTCAGTTAAATTGTTTAATATACAAACACATATTTTTTCATAAATAACATAAAGTATTACACATATTTTCTTTAACTATAATATGGTATCAATTTTTTTTAATTTTCCAAATAAACGTGATTATTATTTATAATTAGACAATGACTATAATGCTGCTAACAAAGATAAAATATTAGAATTTTAACACCCTTATAATTATTCAAAATAATCTACATTAATTTACATATGAACAATGATTGATAAGTCTTTTCCAGCAACAATGACTAAAATTAAGAAAATCATTTTACAACACCGAAAAATAAACAATTACGAGCCTTAGACCAAAAATATAATGAATTCAATAAATTACATTAAGTAAATCCCATTTAAAGAAATTTAAACACCTGAGTTGGTAATTCAAAATGATTTGTAGTGTTGTAATCAAATAATGTGTTGATACCGGTCATACCGGTATTTGCAAAATTCCTATTAGAGATATTAGAAACATTAAGTAAAAAAATCAAATTGTAAGATAAGATAATTATTACCATGATACGCGGTTATACTGATAATTAAATACACTCAAGACATTTGTTTGTCAATACAGGTTTCATTATTCTATGAACAGAGTTTTCACATGTGCTATTAAAATCTATCAATACTCTAATAAAATAATACTTTAGTGCTACCGTGCAATTATTTTAGAAACGAACCTGCTATAGTTTTGGTCAGTTTTTGGTCTAAAACATCGAAAACACATAAACATACAGTAATCGGTACCATGAAGTTATGTTAGGATTGAAGAACACCAACAAAGAAAATTATTCAATGAGAATAATTAACAATTTTGATAAGTCCAGTACAATGTTCATTTTTATTCATTTTTTATATCTTCTATTTAGACTACCAATCGAGTATCCAATAAGCAGATTTTTTTTGTAAAAAATCTAACAACATTGAACATTATAAGTAATATTACAAATATTTACACCATTTAAGACAGGATAAAAAATAAACGTAATAGAGGAATAATAATTAGTTTAAACCCAGCTTAAATTACATCGATTTTTTTCATTTATTTGGAATGCTATATGTATGAATTTATTTTACAATAGCTAACTCAGTATACCGTGTTGGAAAATTTTTCGCGCATAATAGGGAAATCAATGTTAAATTCTTAGCCGGCTGAAATCCAATCTACCAGTGTACATTTCAATAGAACGTCGCGATCAATTCTAATAAATTTAATTGTTCTACTGGACTTCACACCGCGCTTTGGCTTGGTTAGATTAAAAATCAAATAATTTCGACGGTTTCAACACTTCGACAGTATCAAAACGGGTTCGGATGGGTGAACGTCGAGTCGATTACAAAGAATTGAGAATTTTTAAACTTAATAATTTATTGAATTTATAATAACGATAAATTATAAAACGATAATTTATTGAAAAAATATCACTAATAATAAAATAGAATTATGTAGATATGTCTTTTTGCCACAATGGCTTGAAAAAGAAAGTAAATTCTAAGAAAATAATAAAAAGTACTCCAAAAATAAACTTAAAGATTATTTTAAAATAGAAAATAAAAGAACTCTAAAAAATAGTCCACCGCTTTCTGCTAAACAATAGTGCTAACCTGTCATACAGATGTCATCTCATATTACTGAGCTGAGGTGTAATTTTAAGAAAATTGAATTATTTTTTCCTTATTTTTCCTTATTTTAACAAGATTTGTTGCTATTTCAAAACTGTACCTACCGATACACACATTTTTTTGAAATATCCCCAAAAAACCTATTAATTGTAGTTTCTAAATAATTTTGTACCTCATACCTAACACAAATAACTTTGTACCTCTACAAATCGCGGCGTGCGGTCCAGTAGAACAATTAAATTTATTAGAATTCATCGCGACGTTCTATTGAAATGTATACTGGTAGACTGGATTTTAGCCGGCTAAGAATTTAACATTGATTTCCCTATTATGCGAAATTTAATTTCCAACAGTGTAGAATAATCTGTGTTAGGGCAATGTGATATGTTTTAAAGTTAAAACGAAATTGTGCAGTTAACAATCCAATTATGCCAAGATTATCTATTAAATATAAAGTTGCTTAGGGTGTCAAAGTTCACAATAATGTGAACTGTGTACCAAAACACAATTGACTTGATAAACAAAAATTGAAGGGGACATAGTGGATTCGTAACAGTAATTTATTGACTTGTGTACAAGAAGATGTGATCAATAAATGCATTAAGCTGAATTGAATCGAAGTTAGGTACAGACAAGCGACAGATGAGAAAAAAATACACACAGTAAGCTTATAATAAGAAAGAAAATCGAGTGAAACATCACTAAAATGAAGTGAACGTTTCATTATCATGTACATCATGTGAATAGCTTAAATGCCAGTTTAATACAATTTCATCCAAAGAACGAAGAAGAAAATAGAAAGTTATGTTCATATCAACACGTTCTTTAGACAATTACAAGATATCTGGAAGGAGCCCTTTACTGACTATGGATTAAGAGCGTATTAGGTGCATATTTTCCGTCCTAACATGAATAAATTAATTTATTTATTGTTTTCCTACACAATAGAATACAAATTGGCTTTGAACGAGCAAAACTGGGGTTAAACACTTAATAATTAATTTTATTTTATACTGACTTAAATAATTTCGTATCAGCAAGATAGTCAGTCTAAAATCTTTACAGTTTACAACTAATTTTTATTCAACAGTGGCAAACATGAGATAGACATTAAGAATTTTTTTGTGAAATAAATAGGATTATGAGTTTGTCAGAACGAGAAAATCGAGGTATGCTTGCCACTTCGATGTTGGGTTTCAATATAAAATCGTGTAATTCAAGCACACGATCTGCACGTAAAACGAATCTTACACGATGATATACTAAAAAATTCTCCTAAAATATCAATAAATAGTGTGTTAAATATTAAGAGGTGATCGTATCTTTGGTCTGGTTCATTGAAATTACAGCGTGCACTGAGAGTCAACAGTATGGCACGGGTATCAGCATTAGAACTTGGCCATGTATTGCTTTAGAAGCAGTACGTGCGCTGGCCCGGGCACGCGGAACTCGTAGGCGACTGTGGAATGGTCGACCCGCGTCCCGGGCAATCGGGTCATCCGTAATAATAGTGGCTGTTTGAGGCTGTGCTGAGGCTCCGTGGCAAATCGCTCTCCAAGATCAGAGTGGGTCTGCGAAGCGTGCCGGCTGGGATGTGAGTGTGGATATGAGGATACCGGACCACCTTGTGGAAGGAAAACATGTATAAATAGAAAACGTAACGAGAAAGAAAGTTACTTACTTCAGCGATGCTTCCGATTGGCGGTGAATGGATAGTAACTGATGGTACATCAGGACATGGCAGAGGAGTTGTTAAATCTATATCTGCGTCTACTTCGCTGATGTCGTCTGTAAAGCCGTTGGGCAATGTGTTGTCTGATACGTTTGTCGCGTGGAATTTGGCCTCTTTCTTCGCTCTGTGGCGTTGGAGAAGAAGACGGCCCACCAAGAAGCTGAGCAGCAATACTAGCGCTGCTGCTACACTAACGATTAGATACAGAAAGAAGCGCTCTTGGTTTTCTGGAAGAATTTACTTCGAATTAGTATTGTGTTGATATTAAAAATTGAAATGTGTGAAACTGAAATGTGTGAATGTGGAGTGAAAATCAATATTCGCTCTTGGGTTCGTATAAATATGGAGTTGCTTTGTAAAAAAGTTTCATGCCATGCACAAAGACTAAAAATGCTCAAAAAAATTTTCACGACTAATAGCATAGCGCTGTTAAAAGATTACAAGATGCATTCAAGCTTTATTTAAGGTCACTTTATAAAAGCTTAATGTGCTTTAAATAGCTTTAAGTGATGGGTAACTCTATTTCTCAATCAGTACTACTAAAAGTAACAATTAAAAACGTTTATGAAAAATTACCGTAACGAATATGTATATTTGTATATTCGCATAGAGTTACTGCCGAAACACTCGGTATTGTGAGAAAAACTACTTACGTGAAACGAACGTGTAGGCGTTAATCCATTCAGAAACAAATCCGATAACTGCTGTTTTCTCATTCTGGTCCGTTGTCCCGACGTACACCGTTATTGTACAATTTGGATCCGGGACATCATCCCCTAGCATATCTTTGGTAGTTTTGGTTTTCTGCTTGGGTGGACGCAAACGGACGAAGGGGTTAAAGCGGGAACGGGGGGTGTGGTGAGCGGAGCCTGAGACTGTAATCAAATATCACTCCATGGACTACTTAGTTTAGGGAATTTTGTTGACTAAGGGATGAGGAACACGTCGATTTTCTGGATTTTTACACAAGGATGTTTATATACAAGAGATGTTCGATGCGTTTAGGGCTGTTAAAGTTTAATCACGTACCGCCTATATGCTTAGTAGGCAAAGAACCGATAATACGAAGACGATAAATTGCGATTTTAATTATTTTTCCTGCCGTTGGGAAATGCAAAGTATAGATATGAAAAATTGTAACAAAAACCAAAAGAATGTTAGAGACTAGAAAGTACGAGAATTAAAGCAGAAATTAGAGCAGTAAAAACAAAAAGTTTTATTTAAAGTTGATTTTCATTCCCAACTTTTACAAGAATCTTTTATACATTCCGTTTCATATAAAATTACATAATTTGAACGAACCGTTCGAATATTTTACATTACAATTGTAAAATAGTTATACAGGATGACAAATTAGATACTTAAGTAGTTGAAAAATTTTTGCAGGAGTAAATTTTACTTTAGATTTGAACTATAAAGGAAAGACATAAAAATTCTATAATTCTAAGGGGTTTAACAAAAAACCAGGTAAAACAAAACTTTGATGCAATAATGAAGTTCCGAGGTAAGACGTAGATTGAAAAGTTGAGGTCAGCTCATTCTTTTATTTTTTCTCTTGAGCTTTTAGTCGAGTTGTGCCCTATTTTCGAAGAAATACTCTCAAGAGATCTTTTTTGTCCTCGAAGCGGTCGAATCAAACACTTAAATCGTGTAAATGAAAGTGTGTTTATTCTTGACTTTAAAGTTGCAGTCTTCATATCGCATTCGTATAAAGGAGGAGAGGCTGGAAAGGATTTTCATTTTCAAACGAGATGTGGAAAATAATATTTCGCACGAGTTCCTTGCACATCTCATCGAATTTTAATCAAAACCAACGTTTATTTGACAATCTGTTCTTTTGCCTTCACCGTTCTCGCGCTAAAACGTTTAAATCTCGTTGGAAAAGTTGAGCGATGAATTTTTCATAATTAATTAGTGTATTTTCTAGTTGAAGTACGCTGGCAAAGGGCATACTTAACTAGTCCGATTAAAATTACTTTTATAGACGTTAACAATTTTGAGAAAAAATTTCTAATTTGTAATAATTAAATTTCGCCATTTTTTGTTATTTTGAGTTAATTTTCTTAGGGTAAGCAAACAACGAATTTGCTCGTGCAAAAAAGAGCTTGCTGATAAACAAGAATTTTCCGTTTTATTTATTTAGGAGCCAATTTGAACTGATATAAATTTTAGTTTCGGTTTTTCATTGATTACTTTTGCCCGCCTCTGCCATTTCGCCTTCTCGTTGAAATTATCTTGTTCGTCAAGATCACAAGAGTCTTCTAATTAAGGAAATGACTTGTTTTCTATTTATTTTCATCAAATTAGGTGGGCAGACTGCTTCGTTTTAAGATCCTCATGGTCTCTTTGGAAATTCTAAATCATCTTGGGGTTAACTAGCTCTGACCTCATTGTAAAATCGAACTTATAGCTGGAGCTTTCGTCTAGCTTTTGCTAATTTTTTTATGAATATTAGGTAAATGATTACTTATTAAAATGTAAAAACATCGAACGAAAATGTAACGACTTATATTTTTACCTATAAATATTTTATGGAAAACCATCACCACTAAACGATATGTTGTCGAGTCTCAGATCTTGATTTCTCTTCGATGATTTATTGGATCCTTGATTTTAGACTTTAGAAGGAAGCATTTAGAGCAAGCAACATTTTAGATCTAAAATTACTTTACTAAGATTACTTTCATGCGGTATTTACTTTGAATCAATCTTGTCACACGTTGTATAAAAAATACGAAACCCTTGTGTGAGACGCGGGAATGAAAACCCATTTCGCGTTTAAGCTGTTTATGTATTTTTTTATGCAAATTTTATTTCACTTCCCCGCCAATTCATATTTAATATAAATTACTTGTTTCTGCCCTTATTCCCAACACCTTCAAATTATTTTTGTTATTTTCCTCATCCGCTTTCCCTTCCAGGTTATTAATTTCATCCAATTTTGTAAACCAGCTAAGTCTTAATCTCACGGCAATCTGACAAAATGTTGTGATTTTTACGTTTTTATTAGATCAAACCGGGGCATTTGTTTGAAGCTGGAAAAAGCGAGGAAAAAAGTTTCTGAAAAGATTCGAAATATTATTTGTTACCGGTTTCCTCAAACCGCATCCCAGGGACGTTCCTCCGGAATTATTCCAACAAAGAATTTACGTTTACTTGAAATTAAATCACGTGTTAAAATAATTGGTAATGGGATATTAATTGCAATTCGCCCGTAATAAGAAACTTTTGCTCTCAATTTACCAGATTAAATGATCCTGATAAGTTGCTGAACTTTGCCTGCCGATTAAGTTCCTTGACAAAATGAATACCTACTTCAAATGGTTAGGTTAAGATGACGAGAAGGGATTTCGACAATGTTCTCTATAATACGGGTTAAAAATTCGAATAATCCCTTTTGAATAATATAATTTATTTTCCTAGTTTCGATGTCACTGGAAAACAATGACACCTAGGTTGAAAAGGGGGCGCAAAAGAAATAATTGAAGATGAAAGTTGTCCTACATTGTCGGTATTCGCTTGATAGAAGTTTCATATTAAATTTTTGGATGCTGAATATGTGCGGTACATGTCGAAGAACAAATATATTCTAACTTCTTCAAGAAGCTTAAAGGATAAATAATGGAAGCATGAGCCGTTATTAAGTAGATTTTCGAAACAAGAAAACTGAATATTACATTTTTTATAACGTAAATTTCATCAAAAAGGCTATGTAATTTGTTTGACAAGATTGAATCAACCGTAGCAATTTCCAAAATTAGGATATTTAACGTAAATATTATACCAAGCACTCATAAAGTTACACGAGCATAAAACATTAATAATTAATCTACTTACCGAAGTCCAGACCGTTTGATTTATGAGCGGGAGATTTTGAGCTAATATCGTTGAGATCTTTGGTAAAATTATCTTTGGCAACGCCCTCAATATTCGGAGCAGGAGGAGATGCTGCTGATTCTCGTATATATTCGTTTCCAGCGTCGTAAGTTTCGAAATCTTCATCTTCATCAGCTGTCGAATCTTCTTCGATTTCGTCAGGTGCTAGAGTGCCTTCGTACTGTTCCTTCAGAACTTTCCTTGGTACTAAAAACGTTAATCGCTTAATAAAATAAAGTTTCTTAATCTTACAATATTAAATTTAAACATGTAAAGACCTACTAGGAATAGGTAAATATTTTCGGAAATAATTTTATACCTGTTTCGGCAAAAAATTTCCGCGCCTGCAGTTCGAAGTTTACTAAGTTACAAACTTACCGCATGTGTAAACAACTTTCAAATACATTCGGGATTCTGGTTTGCAGGGACTCCCAAACGTGCTGATATCGGCTGAAAGATCACAATTTCTCTTCCCGTGACAGAGTTGCATGACTGTTTCAGTGGCGTAGCTAACTAGGCATGCTGAAAAATACGAATTTCATTTTCAATGGAATAAATTTTAATTATAATTCCTTTTAAAACTGTAATATTAAAAAATATATACTTATGATATTAATCAAGTTAAATATGGTAGATAGTAAATGGTAAAAGTAACCTACACGAGTATAAATTAGTTTGCGACATGTAAAAAATGGTTAATACGTGTTTCATACTATATTGAGTGGCAGTAATGCATCGGAAAATACATGAAAAAATATTCCGGGCAGCATTGTAGGGCATAACTAGATTATTAGGAACGAGACTGTTGATGATGCATTACAACAGCACTGTTAAACAACGAAGCTAATTTTTGTACAAGCGTCCAAATAAATTTACTGTGTATGTGAATTTATTGAAAATTTCGAAACCTTTAAGAGTTAAAAAAAAGGAGTTATTTTTAATTACATTTCTAATAAATTGAGATGTAAATTAATAATTTAATTCAACGACTTGTCGAGACTTTCTTGTGTAAAATACAATTTACTACAATATAGATATCAGATTCAAAGGATTTCCATCTTATTATTAAATTCTCTATGACAACGTTGAAATCTCTTGTACTTATTAATATTACGAAGATTGAAGTATGTATGTACTTACTTAATAAGATTTAACCTTAGAGTTAAATTAATTACCGATATACTCTTAATGTTAAATATAAGATATGATATTACCTAATATCTATAAATTTAATTTAATTTTAATTATTAAAAATAGCACCATTCCACCGGGATATATCAAAAACAATTTAAATCACTCGTAAAATCACTAACGATTTCGATAAATAGAGATAATTTATGCTGTCATAAAGGAAATAGTGTAACAAGAACAAACATCTTTTGAGTGGCAGCCAAAAAGGAAGTACTTTCGAAAACATTTATTGTTAAATTTTGTTCGACGAACAATGCATGTCTTATAACTCACCATTTACGACATAGCTGACTAGATTTCACGTAAACAGCGAAATAAAATTTTTATTGGTCAACGTGTTTACTGATGGTGTACGATGTAAAAGTCGCTACTCATATTTCCCTCAACACTTTCTTGTGCATGTTGGGAATATAAAAGTTTTGTGTACTGTGTGTGTGTGTGTGTACCGTTCAGTTTTTGAACATCTTTTTTTTTGCCATGTCTTAACTGCTTACTTTCAGTTTACATTAAAATAAACTGACAACTAAGCTCTGAAATACACTTGTGCAATCTCGTTTTCATAGCGGTTAGTTGTAGGAAACTTACTTTTTTAATATTCTCCTTTATAATAAATATTGCTCAAAACAATAATAACATGCTCAAAAGCGTTGCATTTTTTACTTTTTTTGATTTTCCAACTTGCTTCATCGTGGATTTTTATTGAGTAATAGGTACGTTCAAAGTTTTTGTTCGACCTCTTTTATTTACTCTATACCAAAAAGGCTTTCTACCCTTTTACCTTGCGTTAAATAAGGTTAAAACGAGAATAAATATTAGGATCTTTCAAAAACAAGAGAAACCAACTAGCGCGAATAAGGAACAATGTGGGCTATTGTTTCTGGAATAATAAACATTGTGTTGTGGCGTCTTTCAAGCTCTATCATTCCTCCAGTATATGTGTATACAATTCGTATACAAATGGATTGTACGTACACACATAGAAATATGGAGGTATTAGAAGTGTATAGTGACAAATGCATTATTGCTGTTTCAATTACGTGCGTATTTGTTGACAGAGATTTTCTTTTATTATGGAGATACGTTTGGAGTGAATTGTACATTTCATTACCGCTATTCGGTAGAAAATACATTTTTTTATTGTATTCGTTTGCTTTAGATATAAATACATTATATATGAATGGGCTGCAATTTACATTCACTCGATGAGGATGAATAGTTCTCGAAAAAATATTGCTTTTCAATGCATAATTAAACTATTTATAGAAACTTACAAATAGAATTATTTGGCGTATGATATTAGCCTAAAGTTATTTTTACTTCAATTCGCGAAAACTCTTTAATAATGGAATTGTTTACACGTAAACTTCAGATTTGAACGTAAAACTTTCGTCAAATATTAATATTAGTTTTTAGGAGCGACCCAAATAAAACTTTGCTCGTTGATGAAACATTTTACAGCACACCAATTACGACGAATAATTATTAAATTTCTTCAATTAAACGAGTCGAGTTAGAGCAGTTAGTCGGAAACGTCTTACACTGGTTGCCCCGTCGCATTAAATGCACTTCTGTACTTTCGGAAGTATGATTAAGTAGGTACTTCGATATTATTAGAAGATCACGGAATTTTTGTTAAGTCGCTCGTTATTTTTTTGTTGGGTTAAGTTAAAATGCGATAAAAATTTGCTTACTTTCTTCTGGTACGCCCTGGGGTTGGGGACATTGTATGCTTTCGTATTCCGTCCTTCCAAAACTTGCGCTATACACTGCTACTCTTGAGTTCGGATTGCACTTCAGCTGGATTCGTTCATTTTGACAGGCCACTTTACTTCGAAATTCGTCTGGAAAAAGTTGGATGCGTTCTATTAAAATCAGCACTTTTTCCAGAGTTTATTATGAACTATTGGATTTAATCGTATGGAGGAGAACCTGCTGTGGTAGGATAGAAGTGGTAATTCAACAAGCAGTACGATAGTTTTCTTAATCATTAATTATTAGCAAAGCGCAATTATGAAGGATACTTCTAATCTAGGATAAAAATGTTAAAGCAGGCTAATGTAATAAATCATGTTTTTCTAAGGTAAGATTTTTCGTGTCCGAGCTTTCTATTCCCGGGTAAATTTTTGTGAAAGACATCGAAAAGAAGCAATTTGACAAAATAATGAATTTTCATGTTGCTGGATTCTCAGAGACTACAAAGACTATTCACAAAAATGTCGCAAAATTAATTTACAAAACGGAGGGTTAATATTTTGTTAGCCCTTCGGGATAATTAAAATAAAACGAAGGAATATTAAGATATCTTCTTTTGGAAATGTATAATACTAATTGTAAATGTTTTTTTAAATAGATGTATAATCTTAAAAGTAAATGAATGTTTTATCACGATAATTGATTTCTTGAACTGAAAATTTATTAAAACTTATAAGGTGCTTCGGTAAATTGTAATTATCAAACAGGTTGATCGTATATTCATGTATTTCTGGTAGATATATAAAACGGACCAATTGAAGCTAGAAAAACGTCCTGAAAATATTTGAAAAATTTTCTACTTACACGGCCGACATTTGTAAGCAACCTCGACGTATTTCCTGACCCCGGGACACGGATCCCCACCGAAATTCTTCGGGTTAGGTTGGAACTTGCACTGGCGTTTTTTCTGGCAGACCTCCACGACAGTCTGTAACAGCGAATACTAGGTACTGTCAGTCAGATCGGCTGTTTTTTAACCCCTTTCGGACTGATTGATATTTACAAATGAATAATGAAATGCGATGTAGCACCAAGCGGTAACATCAATCATGCATGGCCTTTCAGTGATATATTTCACGAATTAAACATGTATTTGTGAAATTAAATCGGCAGCGTAATTCTTGTGTCTTTTTTATCTTAACAGGACATTTCTTTTTAAATAGAAAACATAAATCGAGTCCTAATATACAAGAAATCAAGGCGCTCGACTTCAACCATAAATAATTCAAAAATACGATGAAGTAGGTGTTAGGTGTACACTGTAATTAAATTTCATTTAGAATAAATGCGATAATACCAAAAAGCATAATTAAAAATTTAAGCGAAAGATACCTACTACTTTCCCTCGCCTGAATTATCAATCATTCACGAATCGTATTTACGAAGTTGCCGAGTTAGGAGAAATTTCATTTTAAAGAAGATTAGTATTACTGTAGAAGTTCCGAATAAATAGGAAAAGCAGATAGTTACAGGCATAAGCTTCATCTGTAAATTATTGGATTAAAAGATTTATCTAGAAATGAAAATTTTAAAAAGTAATCGAACATTTTCCAAAAATAGTTAACAATAGAGAAATCTGAATGAGTATTCCAAAAGCGTGGATATTCAATCGGCAATTAGATGTTTCTGATTCGCAGGAAGTGTTTTTATTTCTATTGAAAATTGCCAGCACTCCTTAGGGATACCGTTTGCCAATTTTTGAACGAGGATTGTGATTTTTTATTCATGAGTTGCATTTGGACGAGCGACAAAAAGGCAATACTTCATGCGATACCTACCGATTGTTTCAGAACAATTTTTCCTTTCAAAAAGAATTAGAATGCAAACTTCACACTAATAACGTAAAAATACTCACGGGGAAAATCAAAGACACGAGCAACGAGCACCCAGCCCTGCGCTTTAAATTTGAATTTGAAGTTTGAACGATATCGTCTGCATTCTCGAAAAACGGAACATCTCGGATGCCTTGCCTTTTATGTCGGTCTTTGGTCTTTGCTCCGACATTTTGCATAATTATACAGTTTGCAGACTGAAGCTCGGAGCATAACATCAGCTCCGTTAAAAAAAAAACAATACCATGGCAATAAGGTACAATGCAGACAATGACCGGAGTATAATTTTCATAATATTCGTTTGCACTAAGTAAAAATTAACTTGTATTTTTGTATCACTGGGCGAAACAAAATTCAATAATACACATATTTCTATTTAAATTACGCTGTGATTTAATTTCAGATCTACTACTAATTTCTATAATTCATATATAAAACTAGTGAAACTAATGTTATCAAAATGCAAAGAAAGACCAGCCCAAAGCTCAATGAGTTTTACTGTTTGTAAATGACATACCTGCATGCTGTACGTTAAAATGATGAATAATTGTTGTAAGTTCTTCTTCCTACATTCGTTCTCATTGCTGTGCATTTATATTTGCTGTTTATGAACAAATTTTAAGCTGAATTTTAAAATCTAAATTTTTTCGTAAAGTATTTGTTAATAAACAGAAAATTTGTTATTTTGATATAAATAATTAAGCTGCATAAAATGTAAAACAATATATAAAAAAGAAAAGATGATGATAGTGAAAAATTATCCATACCGGGTTTTGTCTCATTACTGTCACTTCCCCAAAATTCTCTTAGTAAGTGAATTTATCTTATCTTGTGACGGAAAGAAGTTCTTTTCGTTACAAAAGAGCTGTTTTAGTCTTATCTAAATAATCCGTTCGAATTCCTTTTCTTAAGCGTCAGCAAGGTTTTCATTAATCCAAAACCTTACGTGACCATAACAGTTTTAGCGTTTTATGAACTTCTGGTCTCGATCAGATTTTATCGAGTCTGCAAACTGTCATTCACCTTTTAGGGAGTGATAGAGACTCTCTAGCACCCTTCAACCCTCACGCAACTACACACAGGGTGGCCCGAAATGCGAATTTTGTATTCAAATTCGCCCATAAAATTATACAAGGGTACATCAAAAGCTATTCAAGAGCTGGCGTTTCCTTAACTCACCTTAACGTTTACGTTTTCTTAAAACATCAGTTTTTATTTTTGTATACTAACATTTGAGTGCGTAGAATCGATTTAATAGAGGACAATTTTACGTGGAGAAAAATATGATGAATGTATTCCAAGAATTTTGAAAAGTTACGAGATTTAGACCACCCTATATGTACGTGCTTTTGTTACTACATCCCTGAAACCTTATCCCAAATAAACATTAAAACCAAATGTCTGAAAGAGGCGTAAGTGGTTTCCTCTGAGAGAAAAACAGAAGATATTATTTATCGGTTTCGATAATATTTAAAATCAATATCAAATTGCGCGAATTTAAATAAAATAACACATGAAGAAATTTGAAATATAGAAGTTATAGAAAGTAATTTTATTACCTACATGAAATATAACAATTAAAGGCAAATGATATTTCTACTTCTAAAAAGCTGGCGAATTTCTAACCTAAATACTATTTTCTAGAAAAGCACAATTTCCTTACGGCTGTATCTGATGTACAATTAAATAACAGTTAACATCGTTAATCTATATTGATCACTTACTCTCCCCCAGTTTCCTGCCGAGCCTTCCCACTTGCTCTGTAAAGCACACAAGCAAAGCTCATTTAATTGTGTACAGCGTTAGTCATCAACTAATACAATTTTATAAACACGTTTTACGAAAATTATTTAATTTGCATGGTAAAAACTGAAATTTTCCGATAAACATACTGAATAATTAAGAGAATAAAGAGGCGTACGAGCAATACCTTCAAGAATCAACTCTTAATCCTAAAGGAATAAACATAAAAGTTTCATGTCTTTTGTGTCCCGTAAGACTTGAAGATATAAAATGAAATGTAGCCAAATAAGAATGCATAAATAATTTCAACGAGATATGAAAATTCCCGAGTAAGGGAAAAATGCCCAACTTGACCGATAAATGTACAAATTTAAACTTGAGCTAGACCGTCGTAGGGTCAGTGCTAAATCAATTTCTATTGCAAGCTTTTATTTGAATTTAAATTGTCTTAAGTAAATGTAAAATTTCAAACTTTAATTAAAGGCAAATAAAAATCGTATAATAATAGCCTTATTTAATTGCCAATGAAGGAATATAAGTACGTAGATATTTTAAACAATTTATAAACTTTTAGGAAATCCTGTATTTCAGTTAAATTTGTGTGGCTTTGATTCGCAATTATTCTTGTGGCAAAACTGTACTAATATGGATAACATATTTCACCTTCGAAATACGGATTTTGCTTTGTGTTGTTTATTTTCTCTTCTTTCGCAAACAAATTCATTGGTTGCCTCGGGACAAAGACTTAAACAGAAATAATGTGTCTCTGTAGACTACCTAATTATAAATTGCATATTTTTATTTCACCAGATGCACGAGAAAAAGTTTAATAAATCGTTATGGTATGACTGTAGTAGTTACATGTTTAGCAACTATTTAAGATATTTTCTCTTTCGCTGAAAATGTACAAAAGAGTGGTGAAATGCTGAAACATTTAAACTGGAAATTTTCGGCTTGTTTTAGATTCATTTGCCGTTTAGAATGTAAATTTTATCTAATGGTGACATGTCACAGATTCACGAAAAAACTTACATTTTAAGTTGACTATTATTTAACTTTCTTTACGGCTTGACAAAAGCGAGAATAGTCTTATTAAAATTAACGAGCTATTTCCTCGTAATATTTAATTAGAAAAAAAGTACCTTGTTCTCGAGTTTCTAACTGAAATTATTTCATTTATTAAAATTAAAAAAATATAATATATTAAGGGCAGTTTAAACCCAATACGAATATTTAATTCTATTTTAGCAATTCGGAGTTTGCACAGAATTATAAGCACACGTATTCTCTTATTGGATCCACGTATTCCCGATGCAATTTTAGTCTGTTAATCTCAAGCAGAATTTTGAATCATGCCCGCGTTAGTTTTGGTAATAAATAATACTTGTTGCTCCATAATTACTAATAAAAAACATGATTAAAAACTATAATAAAATTTCTTTAAAGCATCCACCAAAAGAGAAAAGAAAAATCATAAAATATGGTTGAAAATCAATGATACATTATTATTAAAATATTAATTGGAAGCTGCAGCAAACGTTGATAAGGCAGAAAAAGAGTTGTAATGCATGTTGCGGTCCGATCGAAATTTTAATTAATTGTCTCGATCTCAGGAAAAGAGCTTTTCGCATCGACTGCTGCTTTCATTAATAGAAACTCCAGCGCGCTTTTGGTGTTCCAGAGACTAGTCAAAAGACTCTCCGTTTTAAAACTCGAAGAATTCGAATTAATAAAAGTGTATTTTGCGAGGATACAATTGGGAATTGTTTTACTCGAGGGGGAGTTCCGATTTTCAATTATAACTCCGAATCAATTAGCTGTTGTTATAGTTGGAGACCGAAGATGGCCATTCAACTTTCAATTAAGAATTTATCGAGCGCTTCAAAAATCGCATTAATTTTTTTTTCTCGCGAAATCCACGCTTTTTAAATTTCACGAAAACAAATCTAAAATATCTGTCTAATTAAAGTTCTGAACGAACTACTGACTAGGGATTCTGCGACTTCTTTTTCTTTAGTGCAAAAACAAACAAAACTTTCACGCCGAAACGAATATATAGGTCCCTTCGAAGATCCTTTTAACTATTGATCATGTTTTGAGCTTTCGGATTGATACTTTGTATTCATAAAAAGGATCGACTTTTCACAGATCTATAAATCAATCCCGATGACATTTTATTCGAATTTTAACACTAGCGAAATGTTACCGGAGGGACTGAAGGCGTCCTACATATAAATAAGTTTTCAATTTTTAGATTCACCATAAATAATAATTTCAGTTTTGGATCCGGGTTGTTACAGAACCTAAAAGCATTATTATTGGAAAGCTTAACTTTAGGGAAAACTGCAGATTTGAATTGCTTTTTGCTCACAAATTAATTGAATCTTTTGGTCGATTATTTAAAAGAATAGTAAACTTTCTTAACAATGGAAATTTCAAATTTTTATAAGTGAAAATAAAAATTCTAATCATTTTAAATTAATATTTCACCGTTGAAATTGCTCATACAGGTATTCTTGTAGCATCCAAAATTTTACGTTTTCTTACCACATAAACATACAATAATTCTGGGACACACACCTACATCTTAATCTAAATAATTTAAGCTGTTAATTAATTTTAAAGTGCGGGTGCGACACAACCTCTGTTCAGGAGGTATTTGTATTACGTAACTGCAGAAATTGTTTTACTGCAGTTGTAGGTATGTAACTGCATTACAGTGGGGATCATTATTATTCGAATTGTAGTAATTAGACACTGCATAGTTTAAAATCAGAGTGTTCAGACGACAGCTAATTGTTTTACGATTTCAGTCACTAATTAGAAGGACATTTTTTGAAGTAACTCGCAATGATCAGTGAATAAATTTTCAATTTCAAAAGGCGACGTCAAAGGGCACAAAGAACGTTAACTATCTGTTATAAAAAGGACGCTGCAAGGAGTAAGACGATGATAAAATTCACATGAGTTCATAATGCCAGCTACTCATGCGTTCATGAAGTGCATTTTTTGCACCTAATTGAGTTTTGCAATATCATCCCTTTTATCGATTACAGCTGATGCTGCTTGAATTCAATAGACAGATAAAGAGAAGTAGGTATATTCATTTTTCATAAATTTAAAGCTGAAGTACAGAGGAAAAGTTACACGTTAAAAATTAAAACAGGATCACATAATGTTGGCATTTTTCATAATATTTTTGAACAACTAATTGGTGGAAATTGTGAAGAATGAGAAGCACATGTTCAGACAATTGCCCATGAAAAGTGTAAAGGCTAATAAAGTGTGCTTCAATGAAATTTGCTTTAGAAACGTATCAACTCAACTCGAATGCAAACAATAGTGGTTTAAAATTGAAATTCTTTCAAGACAGATACAGCAGCGAATAAACTACGTATGTACGTTGATTTGTACTGAAACAATTCAGGAATTTCAACGGTTTTTTGTGATTTTTATCTACTTTCGAAAGTCTTATGTCAAGGCATAACTGCAATAACTTGATAGCAGTTTTACGACTTAATTGGACGTAGGCACACATTTCTAGTGAATTTATCTTCTTGTGTGTTATCCACATTACATGTAATTAACAATAAATAATTGCTGTTCTGAGCGTATGAAGTTGCGAGATACAGAACCGACTTTGCATATATGCCACCGACTAACGCATTAAACATGCCAACTATATTCGTGGTGGTGGGTTCATATATCCGAAACGTTTTTAAATAAATTTATCATTCCTATACAATTAGTTTTGTGTAACTAAAGTATAAGTACATATAAAAGTTATTAGCTGTAATAAAATAGTTAAGCCCGGTGAAATTAGTGGTAAAGTTGGTAATAGAAAAGCCGGTAAAGTAATTAGCTGTCGAGAAAATTTAATTGGAGTGCTAACCGATTTGAGATAAAATTAACTAAATAAAAAGTTACATTGTTTTATGCAAAGGCTCTCTTACAAAAGTACCGAGAAAAATGTACAGAAAAGATCCACTTAGATGATTAGAAAATTACCTAGCTATCGATTAATGCTAATTCAATGAATTATCTATAAAGCTCTCTAATTTTGCTTCCATGCCAAAACTATCAATATGCAGCATGTAAAAATCTATTTTTACCATCAATCAGTGTCATAAGATTCCGTCTACTGTGATATACGACATTTTTTACATCGAATTTAATGATATTAGAATTATTGTAAGCATAAAAAATCTAAATCTTCCATATGATGTATTAATATTGGCACAAGTATTGATTTATAAGACCACTGTGTATAAGCATAATATCCAAAGTGATAAATGGTTAGGGAGGTCTAAAACATATGTTGACTGGGTAATAATTACATGACAATCCTAAGGAGATTATGTAACCAAAAATCTCAACGTAATGAAAGATTAAGGGAAGTATTCACATAAAATAAAAAACAAGCTGTCCTATTCAGAAAACAGAAGTTGAAAACACCGCAGCTTGATTGATGATGCTCCATCTAAAATTAGATTATCTTGGGGTAAGTTTAAGTAAAATCCTAATGAAATTCTATTCACATTGTTCAAAAATCTGAAAGATTAATTTTTAATCGATATGTGGTAAGAAGACGTCTCAAGCGGTAATTCAACGTGACAAGATGAAAAATAAAGCGCCGTCCTAATTGTTATAAATTATTGAAGATGAGTTCATATAAAATGGTTTACTTGTCACTTTCCTGGACGGATATGAAATGAAAAATGCCCTTCTTCCTCGTAAAATATGATCAGGCAAATGATACTATATTATTACAAAATAATTTCTAAGCTCCTTTATGTCACAAGAAACTTTTTTAATTTATATTAAGCTATTATGAAACGAAAACTGAAACGTGACTTGTTTTCGGCTACCCTCGTATATTCCCAATACTGTTTTTTATTGTGAGAAAACTTGTCCTTAATTCCAGCATTCCCCTTTCCAAAAGTAGCCCCCGAAATAACAACTCGTGTAATAAATCTGCACGCCAAAGAAAAGTTTCAGTCTATTTTAGAAACGCGCTTTTCTTATTCTTTTTCAGTAAACCAAACCACAATGTGCTTACCAGACAAGCTAGGATAAGTGTTCCTTTTTATAAAATTAATAACAATTTCATCAGCTAAGTGCATAAGTATTTTGTCAAAATTCAATACAATAATAAACATACGTATAATTTGGAAATTTGTTGATTATCATTTATAGGAGTTTTAATTATCATTACTTTTCTCTTTGTTATTTGTTACCAGCTTCCTTTATGTGCCTATTTTTCTGACAAAATTTTGCAATACGTGATTATAAATTGTACAACAACGTAGTTCTAATACCATGTATGCACAAAACTGGCATACACCGTTCATTTGTATTTTGCCAGTTTTTGCACTCTGTTTATTAAACTGGAATGCCATAAACCAGTTAGGAACTTGTGAAACGAACATGTGAGAAAATTAATCAAATTGCGGGCAAACTAAACACAATTCTAACGCAATTATTAAACATCAAACTTGAACTGACCGTTTCAAAACTCGAGATGAAAATGGTGGTTACTTAGAACAGCTATTCAGTGTGAATAATTAAAAAATATGCAACAATCGTGAATTAAACAAAGATTTTTAATAGAGTAGAAACTACGCGGTAAAATTAATTTATATTTTTCTGGCTCGTTAGTGGACCTGAGGATTCCCTTGTTAATAATTTTGTCTTTAAAATGATAAGTGCCGCTTAATTGCTGCTGTACCATTAAGAATATTAAATGCAATAAATATTAGTTGGTCTCTTGCCAACACTGCTCGCATAACTAGTGACAATTTTAGCAAAAAGTACAATAAACTACCACATTACGCTAATATTTATTGAAAAAATCTCAGTTTTTAACGTTGAACAAATGCTATATTATTATGAAAGAACAGTTTTATTATAAGCACGAAGCTTTAAATTCATTTTTCGCCGTACCACAACAATCTATGAATTATTGAGTTAAATAAATTCATACCCAAACAGTGGATGATATTTTACAACAATGTACAAATTAGTTGAGTTAATTACAATTGGTTAATTTACTTAAATCTCAAACAAAACCATTAATTAAGAAAGGAGTACTGACCTGGATAGCGTTCGGCCATAAACAAGAAACATTGTAGTTGTATGACGATCTGGAAATAGCCGATGGGGTCGCTCTCGGTTTACAAAGTGACTTCGACGGTGCCGATTTTCCATATTGTGCGATTTCGATAGATATGCTTGTACCTGGTGGACATTTCAATATGACTATTTCATCATCGCATCCTGCTCGTTGGTAGGTTCTCAGGGTTCCTGACAATAAAGCTGAAGTTGGTAAGATGAATTGGACAAAACACCACCACCATGAAAAAAAAATAAAAAATATTTTGTTAATAGTTTGCCACCACCGTAATCGTTAAAATATATTTTATCTTGCAATTGAAACTAAGCAATAAATTTTTGTAGTCCAAGTAAGTATCATAATTACAATTCTATCACGATTTTAAACTCTATTAAATTGTCTCTGCTTTGTGGGAACAGTAACGTATATATTTGGCTAGCATAAAATTAAGTCGGTTTAGAGGAATTCGGGTTGACTACCATGGTTTGAACGGAATAAGTTTCGAAGTATCATTAACAGAGATATTAAGGAGAAATGTTAAGCAAATTTCTAACCGAGATCTGCCGAGGCCTCACAGCTTCCTGTTGAATTTTATGCGTACATATCCAATTAGATGAATTTCTAGAATTTAACAAGAGTTAATCGTAAATGCATTGACTTCAGAACTATGTTCCACCTACCGGTAATGAAATTGATTAGGTGCAATTATGACTGAAACTTCTTCAATTTTTAGCTATTCGTTATTAATTTGCCATTGAATATTTTGGGATATCATTTAAATAATTTTGAAATGTTTTAGATAATTGAGAGGTAAAGGTAATTGGAATTACCATTAGGTAACACAAAATAACTTTCTTTGTTTATGATTACGAACATTTTTTTTGTAATTTCAGCAGGTTTTTAGTAATTTATTAGAATGTTTTCCCAGAAGCGCTCCTACATTTCATATTCCTCTTACTAATTCAAGGGAATTTATACGACATAATCTTCTTTTTTATTCCGCTTTATGTTTATAACTAAAATTTCGCGTCGTCACTTTTCAACGAGTAATACGTTGAATATTTCATAAACTGCCCCGAGATGTAAGTACGTCCTATGTGCCGGTGATTTCTAAATCACAGTACAAATAAAAAAAACATCTACCGCCGACTGTTCAGACAAATGGATTGATGTAAGTAAAAGAAATTTTTTGCTTTTTGTATTAACGCCTGATATTGACAAACTAATCGCTTTTTACTGACATATGAAAATAGTATTTGGCTTTTGACAAAATGTGAAACTAGTTAAAAAACAATTTCAACGAGATAAAAAAGCAAAATTATCTAAAAAAATCTTTGTAGTATGAAAAACAAGAAAGTAAGAGTGTCTAATGATGATTTCATTTGGAGAGAGAATCAAATCCTATTTAAGAGAGAGGATGACTCTATTCTCGTAGGGGTGGAACGTATCTGCCCGCATTACAAAAAGAAGCAGCGGTAAAAATTGAGCATAAATTGTTGAACTACTAAGTAAAGCCGTGAAAAATTACAGTGGTTGAGCCGGCGAAGGTGTAAGTAGAACTGTAGATAATGTCAATACGGTCTTTACCGGAGCTCATATCGAGAAAATGCCGCTTTTATTCAGACATAACACGAACAGTGGGAATTTTAACAAAAAGCCAGTAAAGCGGGCACAATAAATCCCCCGTGAGACAGGGTACATGTATCCGGGCCAACTCTGAAAACGCATATATTAGCCAAGTGGAGCACGATCACTGGAGGGACGACAAGAAAGCTCTCGGCTCTCTGAAATGCTGAAACTAAAACTGGGACGGTGCGATGGGAATGGATAGCAATGGAAGCGAAAGATGGGACAAGAAGACACTGCTTCATTCGTCTAGATCAGAACAATCGTATCACAAGTCACTAACTTTACCTAACGGCTTCTTCACAACACCTATGATCACCAATTACCTACATCAAACTTTTCATAAATATTTTTCTGACCACAGACTATTTGAATCTATAATCCTCTTACGTATCAACCTATTTTTTAGTAGCTAGTCGCATAAATATATGATAAGCACAATTTTGTTTTCGCATGAGTGGATCCGGATGAATTCGCTGAAAATGTGTGGAAATCTCTACTAAGCAATTTTTTTACGAATCCGACACGTGTATTTAAATCTCCAATTTTTATGCTCTTGCATTCAAAAATTCTAATTTCGTAGCTGTCCTATAAAAGTCCGGGTACATTGGTTACTTCTAAATTTTATCGTCTAGCTATTTTATTATTCTTAGCACCATCAGTTCCATTGTGTGGAGTAAGAGATTAATATATTATACTATTTGCGGGATTTTCAACCAAAAAACGAGGACAGAGGAACAGAACTTCCACAAATACCAGCCATTATGAAGACTTATATCCAACATAAAAATAACTACTCTGCGAGAGGAGTAATGGTTGAAAAAAGTGTTGATTGGAAAGACATGCGGTAAGTGCGGAGTGAGAATGTTTCCAACGACAGTTTTAAGCGCACATCTGTCGAGCCGATCATATTTTTGCTATAAGTCTTTTCGACGTGTTGTCACCTTATTTTCTAAAATAAAATCGAAATTAAACTGCCAGAAACGTCGGTGTTTGGCCAAATGAATTGTTTTCAAACGCCGACAAAGTCTCAAAGTTGTTAAAACTTCTATTTTTTATTCCGCAATCAAATTCTTCTCACTTCTGATTTTATTTAAGTGCTCCTAAATTCCCGCCTTGAAATCGGAGTTCAAAGTAGTCAAGTCACGGTCATTTTACTTTATTAGTGGGCCCGTGTAGGCTGTAAAGTAGTGTTTATACCTCACGAACCATCTATAGGTCAATAAATAGGGATTTTGCACCCTCTATTGGCTTATTTGTGCTCTAGTGAGTTTAGGGAGTTTCGAGTTTGTTTACACTTCCAAAATGGCTTTACACTTATATAGGTGAGATTTTGGGTGTGTTTAAACTCTCGTGCTTCGCTAGCCGATAATATATTGGTTTGTCCGAGCAAATCCCCATAGAATGGAAATTCGACAACACTCAAATTGATTCTTCTAAGTACAGTTTAAACTACGTACCAAATACGTCGACTCTTTCAATTATTTCACAATGGTAACTTCTAATAATGAACCCAAACAATAGAAGATCCAGTAGAAACCCGCTCATCTTTCTTCTTTAAGACATATTTTATTTACTAATTCACGTCTTTCGAATAAGTCTTTTTGAAATCATATTTACATATTAAAAGAACCCCTAAATCCACCACTGCAAAGATGGGATTTATGGGTATAATGATTTAAAAATAATTTCTATCTATCCCTATACAATTTGCGATGCTTTTTCAAATAAATGCAATATATCTTTGTAGAATTAAAAGTTTTCCAACTAAGTTTATTAAAATTTGAATTTATGAATATCTAGAATTGCCACTGGGAATGTATCGCTTCAGTCTCGTTCTTGAGCTTATCTTTTTAATACGGATTTATCTTTGAGGCGTTATTCTTTTATTTGTCAGTCCGCCCGTTCTTGTCTTAACAATGGCAAATATACAATGACAGATAAATCACATAAAGTCCCACGTTAAACCCTATATAAGAACGAATTATTGACGTTAAAAGTCCAAACCGTATTTCAGAATTTTGCATTGAATTTAACTTTCTATTAAAAACAGAATTCAGCAGTAATTAACACATTTTAATTCAGCTTTATTTTAAAATGGAATATAAAACATTCAATTCCACGCTCGAAACATGTTGAACGCTACTATTCATATTTTGGTTGATGGCAACTTTGTTGCAGAGGTTTCGGCTAAGAGTCGGTGTATATTAGTTCAACTAGAAGTGGAATTAAGTTAGGTGTCAACGGTAACCTCGTAACTATTTTATCGCATACATTCAAACATTCGGTTGAACTTCGAATTGCCATTAATCGCACGATCAAAAATTTCATCATACATAAATTTTCATTTCCATGTTTTTAAATTAAACTTGTAAAAAGTTTACGAAACACTCAACAAGAAATCGTAGTAATAAAACTTCTGAATTTTTCAAGGAAACCGCAAAACTACTTCTTCATTTTCATTAATATTCCGCCAAAGGAAAGAATTTGGATGTCATGACATCCGAGTAGGTAGTATCTAATGAGATAAGGCAGTATTAAATCGTAAATAGAAGTAATAATAGTCTGCAATGTAAATTAGAAATAATCGTAAATTTAATAATATTTCACACATGTAATTATTTACGACTTCATACATTATTCTAACGAATAATACTATCTACGATAATATCATAGGAAAATTAACGAGTGGCTATATTAATAATGACTAAAATAATTTCAAGACGTTGTTTCGTATTTCTGGTAAGATCAATCAAATTTTAAGTTAATCACAGAACTTCCGTTTGCGAAGTTAAGAACTACGAGAGTCCATTCAATAATTACAAGTTATTTATTGATAAACTTTAACTAGCAGCTTCACTTTGATTATTTTTAGTATCTACTTCTGTATTCGTTGGTTTATCTTTTGTATTTGCAATTCGATGAATTGAAAACAACTTTAATTTATTTTTCCTCGAGTGTTCTAAATGAAGTTAGGTATTCATAAATTATATTGAAAATAAAAAGTTAAAAAAAAACTCTCCGAACTCCTTTGGATATTAAATAAAGATCAGAGAGTTATGATCGAAGCACAATATGACTAAACAATTTGACAAAACCAAATCCAAACTGTTTTAAAAATTCAATCAAATCCTACAACATCAATGGATTCCCACCGTTCTAGAGCACAGAAGAATCGACGATAAATGAAAAATCAAATACTGTGAGATGGATTTTTGAACCCTTTGAATCGAGATTTCCAATTATCTTTCGATCTACTCGACAAATTCATATTAGAATAAACATGATTAAACCCCTAAATGCACAAAATTGTAAATATGTATACAAGACTTAAATTGGTGAAAAAAAATGCATATTATTTTTTGATGATAAATTCCCAGTGGTAATTAAATGCATATAATTATATTTTTTGCCTAATAAAATCGCAACATATGCCTGCACCGCACGAACTGAAACACACATGACATGACACGTGTATGTCACACACTCACACACACGTTGTGCGCCGTTACCGCCACCCCGTACAAAGTACCGAGCTTCGCGTTTCCGAAATTCCCAACAACCGACGAGCTCTGGTTCACCGGCTAGCGACAGGCCAAAAAGGCAAAAGTCTGCGGCCTCGTGTTTTCTCGACCGATTAACAGATCAGCCTATTCTGTCTACTTCAGCAGGCCGGCGTCTTTTGAAGAGTTTCTCGTGAAGAGGGCGAACCGTTACATGCCGAAGCTACTTTGGAACTCACGGGTCTAATGGCAACACGCCCCCTTCCTATAGAGGTGAAGTATTATTTCGAGATTCGTTACTTTAAAATCGAATGGTTTTTTTTCTATAGATTTATTTTCATCTCGAGATTCTCGAGCGTACTTCAAATTTTGAATAATTTTAGCAAACAATTTATAATTTTCTCACACCCATACTTTGTCACAACCTGTAAATCTACAAAATTCACATTGCTCATCATTATCTTCCACTAAAGCATTATCTTCCACAGAAGATTTACAGGAAAATCACAAAACTATCATTTCTGATAAAAACTATACTAAAATCATAATTCATCAACAAACAAACTAAATATTGCCAATATTTTTTACAGGAGCAACCTAATATCATATAGTACCAGATAAAAATAATTTTGTTTCTTACTTTTCACAAAAAATCATAAATTTATGTGTGAATTTATTTTTCAATTTCTCTCGTTTCGGTTGAGCGGTAAGAGGTAACGTCGATGCTCATCTCTAATGTTCGTTTTTCCTGCGCCGTATCTAGAGTGGATCGGTTTGGCTGTACATTGTGTGAAATTTCGTCGAAGGCGGGGAAAATTTTATACTTTAATACTTCCTGGGACAAAAATGAGAACGGTCGAAGGCTGGGAAGAATCATCTCGATAATTCGGGACTGCTGACTTAGTTGGAGTTCCTCGGCTATCGCTCTCGCTTAACTATTATTATTAACTGGAAGAAGTTTCCGGACAAGGGAGTTGATTCCGAGGGTGGGATTCAGGCTCTAGTTTGCATTTTTAATCATAGCAGCAATTTGTTGTGATAAATAATGTAAAAGTTTGTGATTGGACCGATATATTGGTGCATATTTCTAACTGAGATGCGAAAAGAGCCATCTCTGATTGCATAAATATTCAAGTCATCAAACCGTTATGACCATCCATCACGGCGCTGACGTAAGAGACGAGACTAGACGTAGCGGGAAAACTTTTGGGAATATGACGATGGTTTTCCCTATCCACCTAAAGCTGCGAATTCGGTTTCTACTGAAAATACCTTTGCCAGGGTTGATTTCAGGAACGAATTTAGACCTATATTTTACACATTAATCTGATTAAACTACTCGCTTTGGTGCAATCAAAGTTTAACACTTCACATTCTTAAATTTACTAATTTTAATTACGTTCTGAATGAACAACTCCCATTGTATTTTTTACGATCATTATAAAGTCGGCCCTGTAACTATACGACAAACGTAATTTTACTTAACAGGACCGGCTGAAGCCTCATTTATTTACATTTACCCTGTTACAGAGGAACAACGACGTGACTTGGATGAGGATTGCTTGCAAAATTTTCGCATCCAAACGAAAATGTATAATTCAATAAAATCTACGCGGTTTTTTTGGTGTAAAACAAACTTTTTACAGCCGTTTAATCGGCGTATTTTTATGGGGTGAAATGGTTAAATTTCGCCAGAGTTATTTTTTAATATCAATCGAGGACGAGTGTTTTTATTAAACGTTTAAATTAATTAGGCAATAACATTTTTTATGTTTAAGGCTGTAATGTTTTAATTTTCCCGGGGCCCAAAAATAATATCTGTTGTCCTTCGCAGTTCTTTAAAGAGAAGAAAACGGAATAGAAAAAGTAGAACATCCAACAAAATTTCGGATGGTTTCAGATTTTAGGGGAGATAAGTGTAATTACAAGGTCCCTTACAAGATCCACAGCAGTTGATAAATAATCTAGTTAACCATAAAATAATTAAGTCAGCTAATAATTCGAGATCTAAAAAGGTGACGAGGAGTGTCATACTCGGAAGGAGATTAGGTGAAAAGTTCAGTTTTATCTCGAGGAACTTCAAATGCGACGAGATCTCGCTTTATTTCGTATTGTAGCATTGCAACATAAAAAGATAAAATTAATTTACGACAAATCTTGAGAATACAGAGAATAAAAAGGCTAAATATAAAGATTAACTGTTTTTGAATCTTGTTAACATCAGATTAACAAACGAGGCAAAAAGAAAACTACTATTCATTTAATTAAAGCGAATACTTGGTTGTTTTTGGGATTGTAGCAATTAAAAATTTAAAACAAGGAATTGTGCTTTAGAAATAAATGAGATCTTTAAGGATTAACGCGTTTGAAATTCAACAGATTTCTTTATAGGCAAATCGAGGTAAAAAAATAAATAAAATCGAAATAAATCAACAAGAAACCTAACATTTTTATTTTACTAATAGCTTAAAAAAATGTGCATCACTGATGTAATAATTACTATTTGCAGGCTTTAAATGTTTGCAAAGATCTTCTTAATTAGCAATATTTCCAGACGGGTCTTTATCCGAGTTCCAAGTTTGTTTGCTCGCACTTTTATTTACAGCTATTTTGAGCGAGCTCTTCACAAGTCATTAGAGCACACATGCATTGTTCAGTTCAATTTCACAAAAAGAGGAACATGCTACCGACCTAACTGCCAGTTAAGATCGAATAAAAACAAAACCAATCTCTTTTGTGTCTAAAAGACATAAACATCCTTAATTGCCTAGTTTTGGCCATATTATTGAACAGGCGTATGCCAATACGCGAAATAATTTTTAATTAAAACTTGTTAAAATATTGATGCTGTTATTGATCACGAAACGAAGTAACTTCTTTTATTTACTAAGTTTTTGTTTAGGGATATTTTATTTTATTTCGACATTTATTGCACCGGCCATATCTGTAAATGGCCCTCTCAGTTATTTATATTTTTCTAGATGGCATAAAATACAGTTTGGCACAAGTGATTCTGCGGCTTGCCAGATTGTGTGAAAGAATCGCTTCCGTTTCGCTTGGGTTTTTTTATTAAATGTGTATAGAAAGAGCAATGGTTGGCCTTATTTTCTCTAAAGAAAATTTTCGGAATACGGCTAATCTTAAAGATATTACCTATTTTGTATAGTTCCAGAGCAATATAAACTTGGCAATATTACAATTGCATAAAATAAATTCATAATTATTTTAATCACTTGTTGATTGCTCATTGTAAGGACTAAAGGGGATTTCTCGATTTGGATTTAAATATTTGGTTTATTTGTAACCATGAAATATCCACGAATTCCCTCAGTCGTGACACTGACGAAGGTTAAATAAATTTGAAAGAAAACTTTTTTCCAAACAGCTGAACCGCTGATTATATTTCAGAACATGATAACACACCTAAAAGCTATACTAGGGAAATTTTTGAAGCGATTGAAGCCGCTCAATTTGTTTACATTTCCATTAAGTATTACTTAGAATCTGCATTACAAATTTAGTTTGAAACTCGTTTTAACAAAAATGCATTCATCCACAAACATTAAAAGTAGAGTTGCAAATGACCCGATATTCGTTAACAGAAAATTTGCGTACGCCAATGTTTCCTGAGATTACATTATATCCCAGTTTAAGGGATGGATGCACTGGAACTCACGCCTTATCCAATTACATAATTTATCAACCTCATCTTATATTCATATTGAGGAACGATGAATTTTTGCTGTCACTTAAAAAGAATCCTTTTCCACGTCTCCGATTCCACCGCGCTCGCGCTAAACTTTTCCTGGAAAATAGAACTAATATTTCTTCGGGGCAATAACGGGCTGGATTTGTTGAATTCTCGTGAAAACAGGAAATTAAGTATTTGTTGCCTTAACGGTTTATTTTACTAAATTATTAGTTAGGAGTTCGTCCGTGAAATATCGTTATTTAATTGCACTTTCGAACTTCCACGGATATAAGCAGAGGACTTTTATTGTTTTAGGAAAAAGTTTGTTGGGCTCGATTAAATCTTTTTTGTGATAAATCCTAATTAGAATATTTCAAATATCCTCTCCTCCCAAGTTTTTATATCATTTTTATAGTTGTTTATGTTAAAATTAATGAATGCGTTTAATTTTGTTACATATACAAAACTATCAAAAGTTATAGGTATTTTACTTTCAGAAGCATATAAAATCTTAAAGGCCATATAGTATAGCCATCTTAACTTTTGAACAAGACGCCTCTGAAAGTACCCATCGAAATACGAGTCATTTACACGAAATAAAATTTATGTTTAACATTTTCCCCATAAGTGTTGACTTTATAATTAGGTGCGCTTTCGAAAACTCTTTATAAAACAGAGATTTATTACCGATTACACCTAAAAGTACCTAAGTGTGGCGTAAAAAGGATGAATTTAATTTAGATTAATGTTTAGGCATATTCGTGCTATAAATATATTAAGCAAGGATAAAAATAATAAAAACATTAAAAACAAATTTGTTTCGTTCGCCTACGGCACTGTACGTAATTTTTGCTATAAAGAAACAGCACAATTATGCGTTAAAATGTACACAGATTTAAGAAATATCTGGAAATAAAATTCTTTAGCGTGCTTAATTGAGTTGCACACAAATTCAAAGGGACCCTTGGGTCCGCACAAAACCCAACAAAATTTCCTTCGACCGAGAAAACCGAGATGTAATGATCCATTTAAGGTTTAGATAAGCCAATACCTAAATCAAGGGATTTTTCTAGAAACAAATTAATTTTAAACCTAGCAAATTACTTGTTAATTATTGAGAAGTTTATGCTTTGCTTGAGTTCGTTGTTGCTACATTATGTCTGCAATAATGTCTGTATATTTCCAATGACATTATTTTTATATTTACATAGATAAAAATGCTGTCGAGTTGATCACAATAACATTTGATTTCAATTAATTAAAATTTGCTTTAAAAGCGACTTTTTTACAAATTCCCACTTGGCGACAATACAATAATGGAATAACAAAATTATACAATTAACATAACGTCCCTGGAAAGTTGATGTAATAGTTTTTGGTACACAAAGGCTTAGTTAGGAATAAATTATGGTGGAGTATAAGATGAAAAACTAATACAAGTGAAGAGACAAATTGCTCGCTGTTTTGTTGCTTTGTGTACTAAGTAATACAATTTATTCATGGACGTTTCCAACACCGAGAAGGTTCA